CCCCCAAAACCCCAAAACCCCAAAACCCCAAAATATTATATAAATATTGTGATATATGAATGCATTTAGTGTTGTAAGTATCATCCATTTAGATTAACAGAGTTACAAAGAAGACTTTGAGATTAATTACTTAGCTTAGATTGACTCTAAGCAAAGTCTTCTCCATTATCATATTTTATAGCCACAAAGACCCTCTAGATTTGATTTAAAACATACTGGAGAATTAATGACATTACCTCCAGTGAACAGTAAAATACGGCATTATAACTTCATTGCCGCTAAACCACCAAAAGCTCCTTCTTCCCAAGGAGTAACTCGATCGATCCAGAAGATTCTTCACTCCGATTTCATGGACCAAAAGGAGGAAGAATTTAAAATTCCAACCTCTGTCGACTCTAGCATTCAGGAAATTCTTATCAATAACAATCAATTGAAGAAAAGGTAAGTAAGGTCATTTCCATCATCTAGTCTCAAATCTATGATTAAATCAATGAACATTATGCCAAAAGAGGAGATGAAAGAAGGCCAATATGGGTTCCTGAGCTCAGTTACACGGCAAGCTCAGGATCATAATCAGTTCAGTTCCATCTTAAAGGATAGGCTAGCCACTGCTCCTGTAAATTTGGGTGTGACAATTTAGATATCCATTTCAAATACCTCACTTGACTCTGATGAAAGGATGGCAACTGGTAGCTACTAGAATAATCTTTAGAAACTGAATCTGAAAGGGAAGATCGGAACAAGTTCAGATTTGCTTCCAAATCCGAACATTTTGACTACAAAGACATCAAAATTCAGGAGCCCAAAGTTAACTATGATAAGGTCAAGAAAAAACGATTTACGCTAGTAGCCGATAGAGCGTATGCATGCTTCTTTTTTTGTTCCTTTTCTTATGAATTGCCTATAATTATCATTTCTCATCATTGTAGATTCATTCCACCCACAGAGCATACACTGGAGATTCAAGATCCAAGCTCAGTATATCACGGTCTCTAATTCTTCTAGAATAGACACAAAGCTCATATCCCAAAAATTGAGCGAGAAAGAGCAAGGATGATAAACCAAATTTAAGAAGCAACAGAAGATATCACAGAACTTGATGAAAGGAAAACGAAGGAAAAAGATACCTTACTACAGCTTTGAGCAAAATCATAAGAAGAGGTATACACCAATCTCTACTAAAAGTAACTTTCAGTTCTTAATTCCATAGTTAATGAACGTTATGCGACTGCTGGGCCTAATGTGGGTTCTGAATCACCAACCTCAATTCAAGGTGGGTTGAAAAATACCCTAGGACAGCCCATAGAGTCTATGCAAGCAAACCTGACCGGTAAAGAAAAACGTATAGTAGATTACATCATAAAGAAAAAGTACCCAGTATACGGTTTCATGCATTTCAATTTCGAGACTGAGCAGCCTACCGAGGAAATCATGATAGATGACGAAGCAGCAAAGATAGCTAAATAGATATAAAAACAAGAAAAATGTCACAGATGTCAACAAACAGAAAGTATACGTTGACGAGAATGAGTTCAAGAACATGATGAAACGAAACAAGCAAAATACTCTTAAGATGGAGACTCTGAAAATACTCAAACAGGGCCTGCTGAGACTATCCATCAGGCATTTCAACTCTTTGCTAGCTCAGAGAGTAGTTAATAAGATCAAGAAAACATTTACATATACAGCGATCAAGGCATATAAGAAACTTAAGGAGAAAAGGCAAGCTATGAAGAGGCTAAATGAGAAGAACTTCTCATCTGCACTTGCCAGCCTTGTCATCCAAGAAAGTAACAATTTTCGGTTATACTTTAGAACAGAAATAGAGATAAGCAGAAAGAAGAGGAAGCAAGCAAGCCAAAAATTGATGCCTCTACAGTTATGAATATCCTTAAATCTGGAATCATTGGTATCCTTCAGGAGTTATATGTAGGGAGAATTAAGAGAACAGTCACTAAAAAGAAGGTCAATCCTGGGTAAGCTTCTATCAGACATTTCTCAGAAGCCGGTTTGCTAAGAAGAAGACATTGGCAAAGAAAAAGGAGGCTGAAAGAAGAAGTTCACAATCACTTGCTTACATTGCTGGGCAAAATAATATAGTCAATGGAATTATGATAGGGAAATTCTCTAAGTCCTCACTTGAACCGAAAAAGCAAACTGAAGAGATAGGTTAGATGATTATTCTCAAGTGTATAGCCCCTCCTCCAAGCAATATGTTGATCAAGGCATATGATAATGAAAACCAGAAGAGATACACAGAATTTAAGAACCAGATCAACATAATGTATGATCCATTCTATGTTGTTGATAAGACTGAGAAAACCGAAAAGAGTAGTCTTGGTGTAAAGACCTCCTCTAAAAAATTGAATGCCAAGTAATGTCTCTGTAACCCTCTAGGAGATCAATAAGAATTATGAGGAAGAAGAAGACCAAGGCTGGGAAGTTCTCTTTGAACTCGAAGTCAACAATTCTGTCCAAAGAGATAAAGGAGCGGAGGAAAAAACTTCAAAGGACATAAACTTAATATTGATTTCTATTATATAACCTTAATAAGGGGTTTTGGGGTTTTGGGGTTTTGGGG